AAAACAAAAGCCTGATTTTGCATAAATAATTTGTAAAGCGCTTCAGTCGCCAATTTTGATCTGGGTCCCATGTGACATATGTGTGTAAAATACATTGTTCAATCGTGTACATGCCATGAACGATGACTGTGACATGTGCGATGACTGTGCTATGCACAGTGACTGTGACATGTGCGATGACTGTGACATGTACGATGACTGTGCTATGCACGGTGACTGTGACATGTGCGATGACTGTGCCATGTGCGATGACTGTGACATGTGCGATGACTGTGACATGTGCGATGACTGTGACATGTGCGATGACTGTGCTATGCACGGTGACTGTGACATGCACGATGACTGACATGTGCGATGACTGTGACATGTGCGATGGCTGTGCTATGCACGGTGACTGTGACATGTACGCTGACTGTGACATGTGCGATGACTGTGACATGTGCGATGACTGTGACATGTGCGATGACTGCTATGCACGGTGGCTGCAACATGTGCGATGACTGTGACATGTGCGATGACTGTGACATGTGCGATGACTGTGCTATGCACAGTGACTGTGACATGTGCGATGACTGTGACATGTGCGATGACTGTGACATGTACGATGACTGTGCTATGCACGGTGACTGTGACATGTGCAATGACTGTGCCATGTGCGATGACTGTGACATGTGCGATGACTGTGACATGTGCGATGACTGTGACATGTGCGATGACTGTGACATGTGCTATGACTGTGACATGTGCGATGACTGTGCTATGCACGGTGACTGTGACATGTGCGATGACTGTGCTATGCACAGTGACTGTGACATGTGCGATGACTGTGACATGTACGATGACTGTGCTATGCACGGTGACTGTGACATGTGCGATGAATGTGCCATGTGTGATGACTGTGACATGTGCGATGACTGTGACATGTGCGATGACTGTGACATGTGTGATGACTGACATGTGCGATGACTGTGACATGTGCGATGACTGTGCTATGCACGGTGACTGTGACATGCACGGTGACTGTGACATGTACGCTGACTGTGACATGTGCGATGACTGACATGTGCGATGACTGTGACATGTGCGATGACTGCTATGCACGGTGGCTGCAACATGTGCGATGACTGTGACATGTGCGATGACTGTGACATGTGCGATGACTGTGCTATGCAGTGACTGTGACGTGCGATGACTGTGACATGTGCGATGACTGTGACATGTACGATGACTGTGCTATGCACGGTGACTGTGACATGTGCGATGACTGTGCCATGTGCGATGACTGTGACATGTGCGATGA